ATTCACATATAGAATTATCGTCAAAGCCATAAGGGAGCCTTTCATGTGTAGTGAAGATTCAGAGTTTGACCAAATGAAATTCTAGCAGGGGAGGAAACAATTGTGCATACAACATTGGAATAGGATCAAATTGTCATTCAGGCAGTTTTGGCCTCTGCTGACAGACTTTTCCCTTTGGGTCCTCTTGGGAAATGACAACTGGTTGTGGATGGGAAGATCCTGGAACACAAGGCGATGGAGGAGATACTCCCTGACTTAAAAGAGTCCCCAGATTATGGGGAGGGATGGTAGCTCCTATTGTAGCAGGCATAGAAACATCTTCTTTCTTCAACATGGTCCCTAAAATTTCCATAACCAAATTCAATTGAGTATTCAACTGAGTGTTTTCTTCTTTCAAGAGTTCTTGTCCACGGACCAAATCCTGTATGTCTAGCATCAAGAATCCCATTTGTTCTTTCATCTCGTCCAATTCCCCATGAAGTTGTTCCATATCTTGAGTCTGATCATGGAGCGGCGAGAAGTCAAGATTTGTAGCTCTGGAAATAAAATACCGAGTCTAAATAAGGATTCCCCGTTCTGAGTACCTTCTGAGTACCTGCTATGGATGCATGAAGATACATGAGGTGAGTGAGCGGATGCAATGCCATGTTTAAACATTTTTTCGCATACCATCTTTCACATTTCCTTTTTTTGTGTAAAATAAACATGCTATGATGCAAGGTGCAATGACATAGGTTCAAAAGTTCATTATAACAACTGTACAATCCTCTGGATAACTGATGTATAAATCTGCTGAATAATCTGAATATCACATGGTCAAAGGTTTGGCAGCAATTCCAGAACACAATGAAACCAGGTACCATGAATAACCGTTGTATAATCTCTGGACAAGATGAATATATCAGGATCAAAGGTCCAGAACATAGTCAAAGAACCATCCTGAATACTAAATCCAGAAACTCAGAAAGTAAATCTGAGACCCACATAGTCACCAACAAAACAACGGTCACCATAAGAACATAGTCACCATTTGTACATAGTTATCGTCTATACATAGTCACCAACTGTACCTGTGATAATCAAGTCCCTCCCTGCTCACAGGTGAAAAATAGGTCAGGGTAAGGTTAGGTAACCCATAATCGAGGGTACCCCTAAGAAAACTATCATCGTATCACCTACGTGAAAATGATAGCCCCTCATTTGTACCTCATCTGAGCATGGACGACATGGCGGAAATAGTGAAATCTAAGTAAACTAGTCGTTCATGTTCCACTCTATTCCTAGTATCCTAGTGCACTATGGCCTGGGTATTGGGCCTTTTACCTCATAGTAACACCCACCCCATCATGAAAACATAGCCAGCATAGCAGTATCACCAATATGGAAAGAAATAAAATGCAATGCAAACATATGCTCAAATAAACATGTACAAAATGAACAAGCTATAAAGCATAAAAATAAACACCCAAGGAAAAGAAAACAAGAGCTAGGATCAACTCTGGGATGGACCAACAATAGGTCGATCTGTCCCCAGTGAAGTCTCCAGCTGAAACAATCGGATAAATAATCAACTGATAATGAAATCAATGAAGTCGCCATCGAACATTTTTTTATCCCACGTGAAGGGAAAGGTAAACATCGAGTAAACCTGAGAAGGGTGAAATCAAGGTCGAACGACCAAGAGATACGGGTAAGGGAGTCTGTTACGCGAGGGGAAGGTATTAGCACCCCACACGCCTGTAGTACTCTACAGTATCCACTCTTGTTGTCTATCTTATGGGTGTGTAAGAATCTATATCTAAGCCGTACAAGGAATGCATGCAAAAGAAAATAGAAAAGAATGTAGAGAAAATAAAATTTGTGCTCGTTCGGGCCCTACCCCAATGCCTACGTATCCCTTTTAAGGAATCAGAGCAGCCGTAGTTCGGCTTCAAAAGTTTTTGTTGGTTTGTATTTTTTAATGAACAATATTAATTCTGCCTTCTGCTGTAACTCGACCTTTGGAGATTTACGCGTCAGCACATAAGTTAATTAACATGTCCTTTTGAAAAGTATGAAAGAAAAGCCCGAAGGCGCAAAAAGAGTTTGCATTGGTTGATATTTTTTACCTTGAAGAAGGATTTGGAAATTGTTAGATGTTTTATGCATTTGTCAAGAAAAGAGAGTTTTAGTTTTAAATGCGAGGATGTAAAAGAAAGAAAAACATCTAAGGGAAACTAGCCTAAATCTAATCCCTAATGTTATCAGACAATGATGGTCCTATGGTTGAGTTTTGAAGGGAAATCTCTACTCTATGTTGATATGCTTGGATAACAATCCTAATGTTTATCTCAAATCATCATCTATAGATGAATCAAGAAGTCCTAAAGGAGCATAGCAAGGGTCTATCACCTAAAACTATGTCTATCTTGAATCATCATCTATAGTTGAATTGAGAGCTCCTAAGGGAACATGTCAATGGCATGTCATCTCAAAACATGCATACAGAGATGAAATCAAACAAGTAAGCCAATAAGCTCCAGAGAGCTAGCTCAAGAGAGCACAACTAGAGAGATCTTACCTAGGCTATCATACCAAAGAAAGTCTAACAAAACTATCTTATAGGGAACATGCAATGAGAGCGAAGTCGTGATCTCAATTTCTAAATTGAGTGACACATCGATCAACAAGAAATAAAGGAAAGCGATAAAATCCTATAGGGAGCATGCACTGAGAGCAAAGTCGTGATCTCAATTTCTAAATTGAGTGACTCATTGGTCAACAAGAAAGTAAACAAACACAAGAACAACACATATAGCAAATGAAGTGCGGAATGCCTGCTACAGGTCTTTAAACAGCGACTTCGAGCGCACGCTCTTTATTTCCTACTTCTCATGATATCTAAAAAAATAGTAAAGTACTGAAATGAGATAAACAAGGGAAAATACCAAACAGATATCAATCGATAGCATAGCCTGTCAAAACAAAGAAACCTAATGATCTTCATGAAGCTTCACCAGTCAAAGAAAAGGAGTTAGAAATCAAATGCTCGAAATAAGTATCGACGCACCACCGATGTGAAAATAAATCACAATCGAAATCTCAAGTGCATCCGTATATTTCATAATAAACATGCATAAGACTTAAATCTCAACAAGCAAAGGTGAAGCAGGAAGTATCGGAAACAAAATGATTATTTAAAAATAAACCATAATAGAAAATTCTAACAAAATACTAAAAGAAGAAAAACTAGGGAAATTATATTATATTCCTAAAAAAAACAATTAACAAAATTTTTTATTGTTTTTATTATTAGTTTTGATCATCAAAAATTATAGGAACGAAACTAACGAGAAGATGAAATTAGCATTCTAGTCCGAAGGGGGTGCAGGCTGAAATCCAGGAGTTTGCTGAAGAAGGGCGCTAAGCCCAGTCCGCATGAATCCGATAAACTACTTTTGTTATGGTTCTTCAACTTATCCAAACAAACAAAAAATAGGCCTTAAGCTAGTTAGGCCCAAACCAATATTTCATCATTCAGATTTTCTTTTTTTATCAATATGTTTCTATTAATAAAATCAACTTTCAGTTTATAAAAGAATAGTAAAAAAAACATGGAAAAGAAATTAGCAGAAAAATTGAAAGAGGGCTTAGGGCTATGGATACTGTTCTTCTTCTTTCAAACCACAAACGGCACAATGGCGATTATCAGCCTTCACATCTCCAAGCTTCTTCTTCCTTGTCGTCGATTGTCGTCTACTCGCCATCATCATCTCCATACCTTTCTTCTTCAATCCCCGTCTTAAATATTTCTATTCTCCATCATCATATCCGTACCTTTCCAATCTCCACCGCATATACACACTTACAATGAATATTTCATCCTCCATTTTGCTCTCATTCCTTGTGCATCATCACCTTCACAAATCGATGAAACCAGAAGCTAACGTCGAGCAATGCCATCTCGAACCGTGATGACGTATAGATCCTAATCGCGTGTTTACAACTAAAACTTGCAACAAAATCCAATAAGAACAATGGAGCAAGGCTAAGAAATAGAGAAATGATGGCTTACCTGTCGGAGACGCTCCGACGGTGCTTTGAATACAATATCAGAATCCAGAGACGTAAACTCAAGTTTGTATTTGTTTGTGCTCACCGTGATTCTGTTTTCTGTACTTTCATTCTCCTATTCTTTTGCATTGCAATTCTTTTGTGTTTTGGTTGTGGTGTCTATGATTGAAACGTGACGATGATTACGTCACTGCAGTTTTGTTTCCAGAGATGAAGATGATGAAGAGGCTTGTTGACGTTGCTCTGGTGTGAAGAAGGCAGAAGTGTTCTTATAGGAGCAGATTGGAGAATCGAAGATAATGATGAAGTTGTAGTGAGGATTCAGAGGGATTGTGCTGATATCAGATGAAGAAGACGATGAAGGTGTGAAGAATGCGGAGCCCCTTTTTGTGGTGAGTTTTTTATGTTATGTAATTTTGTCTGAATCTTCTCATCCCTTCCCTTCTCTTCTATTGCCCCTTCTGTTATAAGTTTGTTACGACTGTGAAAGTTAGTTACAGCTTGTTAGGGGGTTGGGTTAGTTAGTATGAGCTACAAATTTAGTTACTTGGTAAGCTGAAGGTTGTCAGAGGAAGTTAGTTACATTTTGTTTTGCTATTTCTGTTTTCTGTTATAGTTGGTTATGAATAGCTGGAGTTAGGGTATGGTTAGAGGATGAGAGTTAGGTTATGGTTAGAAAATTATGTCATCGAGAAAAGAAAAAAATATACTCCTGACTTAATGGTTATTTTTGGATAAAAATAGTTAGGGTTAGAATAGTTTTGGGTTCAGTTGGTTGTCTAAAACTGTTAGATCAGTTGGTAAAAATGGCATTTTTCCCTATGTTTTATCCTGCAATTACTCTTGAATTTGTATGGGTTGAATGCTGATTATGGACTGATTTTTCTGTGACACTGATTTCCTTCTGGTTTTTCTGAGCTAGTTTGATATTTCACGGTTTCTTGAATTCATCTTCCATCCTCTTTTATATTTTCTGTTCTGAGTTTTTGCTTCTGATTTTGAGCAAGGGAATTAGTTTTGTTTGCTTGAGTGCGAGGCTGATATTCTGTGATGTTGCATGGCATAACAGGTTCCAAGTATGAAATGATAGCATGAGGGCAACGATATGTTCCAACGGCAAGCCTAGTAATGATCTGAGGTAGGTTTGCAATTAGCGTAGATATGTCTGTAATTCGCACCGTGGATGTACGAGTGCTAATGATTATTTTCTGGATTGAACTTGCATTGTAGGGTTGCATTGAATGTTGAATTTTCTTCTTAGTTTTCCAGAAGTTTTTCCTTCACTGTTGTTGCAGCTAGTGTAGAAACAGTTGTGCACTTTAACTTCTCAAAGTTGCTATCCTGTTTAGTATTTGCGCCATCATTTTTCACTTCCATACCATTTCTTGCATGATCTTCACTTGCCCCTGTACTTGCACCATTTTCAGAACCCAAACTCGATTTATGTAGATGTGGGGGTGACATCATATCTACATTATTTTGTGTCCCATTATCTTGTGAAGATATTACTGACTGGGAGTCAATCTTTGCTGGCAATGAATTAGAAACTACATCAACATCCATTGAAGAATCTATAGTTATACGAGACTCCGACTGCATTTGTAGATAGTTATTTTTTTTAGACTCGCTCTATATCTGAGGGCATATAATCAAACACAACTTCATCATACTTAGGTGTCTCTACTGGCTTTGGTAGCTCAACTGGTGAACCAGGTTTGGAAGTTTTTGTATGCAGGGCTATATGATGAACATTGGGGCTGGTATAAGGGATAGGTGTTTTATTAATAACTTGCAAGGGTACATATATGGTCTTTTTAATTTTCTAAATGAGTTGACTGTTTTTCTGTGATTTTTCTATTATGGATTTGGTTCTGACTTCAAAATGCTGCAGATTCAGACATGGGGCAAGGTGAACTGGTCTTGATCGTATGTTTGTGACTACTGGTGTAGCAGTAGGGCACGACCATCGAAGGCTGAAGACACGTTAGCATTGCTTAATTCCAAATGGGGTCATAAATCAAGAGGCTGATGGTTATAGCGTGGATGTTTGGTTTGTACAGGTTTAAAAGATTAGGCTTAGGACTAAGTTTCCATGTAAAATATTATGAATGGCTTGTAATATATTTTGGAAATTGAGTGTTCTTGAAAGGATTTGGATGAATATTGACTTGAAGTTGAAGTTTTTGGAATTGTAATGGTGAATGGATATGATGTGTATTTTGGATGAGCCAAAACTGGTAGTTTTCTTTGTAACTTTATAATGGCATGAGTTTTATAATGGAATGAATTTGAAATGGAATTGATTGGATAGAATTTGTACGAAGTTTGAATACTATTAAATAATTTTTTTTGAAAACTTCCATGTGGATGAACCTTGTATGGACAAAATGGTGACATATGGATCTTGAGCTATAAAAAAACATGACTTGAACACTTGAACTTGCACTTAGACTTATGAAATAAGGTTGAACAATGATGGATGATACTTGAATGGTCGTGATGAGATAAGCCTCGACTTGCCTCTTTTGTAATTAAAACTTTTCTGCCATTGTTCCTTGTTTGGATCAACTGCTTGACATCCTGAACACATATGCTCTTGAAAAACTTAATTTTGATATACCGAGTAAACAACGATGGACCCCTAATCCAATTTAATTCCCCCAATCTAACCCAAATTTATGTGTCAAGCAAAAAGGGTTAGAAATAATACTTCCTTGAATTGGTGAAAAATGGATATCCAATTGATATTACCAGATAAACCAAAATCTTGACCAAAGGATGGACACCACTTGATTACAATGAAGAGAACGCCTCAAATGAAAACCAAATTAAATCTAAACACCAAGGATTAGAAACCCTAATTCACACTTGCATCACCTACCCCTAAAATCTTGCATCTTAAGGTGAAGTTGATAGGAAAAACACCCTTGAACCCTGATATGCAGATCCCTAATTGATGAAATGAGGAATAGATGATTCCACCGTATCAATGCATAATCAACCACTAGGAGCTTCAACAATGAATGTACCTTTGGATTCTGAAAGATAGTCCTAATAAAACCCCAATAGCATCAATACTATTGACGAAACCTTTATCCCACAAAATAGGAGCAGATGATTCACAAAAATGTTTATGCTAAAGTTCACACTCTTTAGGATATAACCAAATACTCGTCACTTAAGAGAAAGCTTCAGATGAAAGTCAAGTCTTGGTAAGAAAATCCAAGAAGTGGTGACAGAACTTGTAACACTAGTAACAGATGGAGGTCTTTAATTCTGAAGGAAGGAGACTCCAGATAGCCATAAGTTATAACCCTAAACCATAATCCTTGGAGAAGAACTCGATTGGAGCACAATTGCCGAAAACCTGGCTTCGATCGCACATAGGAAAATAAACTCTGATAGCCTCAAAGCTTGATGAAGACAGAAATTCTCAGTGACGCAAATTACAACCCTAATTCCACCGCTTACTGTTTGAATAAGAAATCAGCCTTTATTAGATTTGTATACTTCAATCACAATGAAACCCTGATATTGCACGACCACTGAACTTTAAACCTCAAAGCACTTTATCTAATGCAAATGTATCTTAATGACCTAATGGAATATATACAGATGAATGCAAAGTCTAAGCCAGAATAAGAGAAATTAGGAGGGAAAATTTTAGGGTGCAACAGTATTGTTCGTCGGAGTAGTCTTTATCTTCGGAACCCTGATTGTTTCTATCTTCACCTTTGACACTTCTTCCATTCTCCTCTTGGTTGTCGTCTTCCTCAGAGGAAACATCTTGAATTGGTTGAGCAGGACCTTTGAATCTTCTCCCCATGTTCAGGATAACATCCCACTTCTTAGTCTTCTTTTTTATGGTGATGAGCGCCATATTCTCTTGTTGCCCTTTGGCCAGATTCAGGAGAGTCTTTTGAAATTGTGCATGCTGAGTTTGGAGATCCTTGACAATTTATTTGTGGGCCATCTTATACTGAAATAAACAGTAAGCAGATGAGGAAACCCGTATTGGAAAACCTGCTTATGAAATGATGCATGATATATGGGTGCAATGTTTTCAAGGACCTTAGGAGATTTAAATTTGTTATCCAAAAGGAAACAGAAACAAAGATTTCATTAATAAGTTCAGAATTACATCTGCCTTCTAGGCTTACAATGAGAAGCAAAAGGGTCTCAAGGAGACAACAATATGAACTCCTAAAACCTAGGACTCAAGTCTCTCACGGGCGCTTCCTCTTCGTGTCGAAGTATGCATTAAGTCTTTGCTCCTCGTGAAGTTGCTTTGTGAGCTCCAACACTTTCTTCTCACTTGCATAGATATGAGCTTCAAAGGTCTCTCGTTCTTCCTTGAGTTGAATCCATGACTTCTGCAATTCTTCGAGGTCAGTAGTCATATCCGGATGGAGGATAATGCAAGAAACGTCTTCTTCGACAATAGGCTCTAAGATCACCGGTAGAACAGATGAATATGGCATCATAAGGTTTTGAGCGCGAGCTCGTATCCATTTGAGATAGGGCTCCAAAGGGATAAAATTCTTTTATCCTAAAGTTTTGTTGTCAACCTTGTTTAACATGCCCCAAGCACGTAGAAACCTTTGATGATAACCTTGAGAATCATTTTCTTAGTCGAACGCAATACCTTGGATAAGTGCGTCATGAGGACCATCTCTTCGAGCATAACCAAATTGTCGTAGAGCCAGAGAATGGTTGTAAGTAATACCTCCCCTAATGTCTAAATATGGATCAACCTAAACCTATTTATTTTTTAAAATAAAATTATTTTTTGTATTTTAATTAAATGAAATAAATAAATAAAGGTAAAGAAAATATGAAAAAATAAAAAAAGATTGGGCCTGGGTTAGAAGTAAAAAAGGGGGTGAGACAAGAAATTGGGGCGCTGGGCCAAGAGGGCTAAGCCCAAAGAAGTTTGTTTGAAATAAATAAAATAAAAAAAGATAAGGAAAAGGGCTTGTTGTAGTTTAGTAGATGGGGGGTGTTGATAGTAGCTGACATACAGGCCTAAGAAGGTCATCCTGGTGATCTTGTACATGGCTTTAGTGAAGGTACACCATGGGGTGAGTTTCTAAGTGTTGGATGATGATGATGAAGTCCTGATGAGGATCTGATGGTTGTGATATGAGGTACACTATGCGCGCCTTGGGCTTTGTTGCACTGGATCTGAAATGAATAAATATGTAAAAAATAAAAGGGTACTGTTGGGGCTCGAACCCGGGTCCCTTACATTAGCGTGTTTGTTTTACCACTGGGGTGGCTGTTTCTTCTGGTTATGAAACTCCCCCTAGTAAATATAATATGAAATCAAATTTCAAATTTGAAACTCCCACTTCTGTTTCTTCCTCGCACTAGCAACAACAACAACATTTTTAAATTTTGTAAAAGCTTCATTTCTCAACCAAATTGAAAGATATCAATATCAAACTTGCTTGAATTTTAACTACAAATCCAACCATATAACTTTCAAAAACTATAGATCAATGGTTAAAACGAATTTTGCTCAATACCAAACTAAAACCCTAATGGTTCATAAATTTCAGTTCCAAAATTTTCCTCACACAGTCTATTAAAACGAAAACTAAATATATAGTTAGCTTCATAGACATGATATCTACATTTTATCTTTAGAATGTATGCACAAAGGATGCCTAAATAAGGAGTTCAAAGTTTGAGAAATATACCAAGTTGGAGAAAGTCCAACGCTTCTTCAAGCACTTCCAGAAGCAAGATGATAATTATTTTAGCTTGTTAGGATCTTGAGGAGTGTATTGCAAATCCTTACTTTGTTTTGAGCTGGAACGATCTACTCAAGTAAGTTGCAAGGTTGGAATTTGAAAATGGTCGATGATGAAGATGATGTTACAATGAGAAAACAGGGGTTTATATGAGTTATATATGATGTATATGAAGTGTTTGGATGATTGGTTTGGACAAAGATTGTAAGGTTTGAGAGATTCAAAGATTTGGACTTCAAAGCTCAAAAAAAGGAGGTTTTGTGTACAATTCTGATTTTTGAGAGTATGAGAGGTTTAGGAGGCTATGAATTCGTGTGTTAGCTTGCAAATGACCTCTCTATTTATAGAGAAAAGGTTTAAGGGCAAGGGCTGATAAGATTTGAAGGATAGCATGTTATCGTTTGGTTGCTTAGTTTTGAAGTAACTTTGAAGAAACATTGTTCTAATGCATAGTACCAAAGGATCTGAAGTGGTTAGAGGCTCTAGACATGTTTCTTCTAGCTTTGACATTGTGTGTGTGCAGAAGAAACAATTGAGAGGCTCAAGGAGTTGATATTGTGATTAAAGCTTGCTTTTCTAAAATGGAAGTCTTGGCTTTCATCCCTTAATGGTGAAATGGATTGGATAGAGCTTTAATCACTTGGATCATGACTCAAAAGTGTGTGTAATCCTATGATTATGGATAGATATGGAGATTTAAGGCCTGAAAAGTGGGATTATGTCGCATGGCTTGAAGATTTGGTTATGAACTTGTCACAAAAATGACCTATAATGCAAACTTAGATACTCAACTTCATCTCTTCGAAACTTCTAGATCAAGAATGATAAAATTGTGTTCTTGGA